CCCCAAAACCCCAAAACCCCGCACAGTTAAAATTGTGTAGAACTATTGATTAGTTATTAAATTAATAAATTAAATCAAATAATCTACTTTAACTCAAGAACTGTCTCTCTTTGCTTGGTTTACAATATGCGAGTAGTGGCCTTAGTAACTATATTAGAAATTATAATAATGAAACTTACTTGATCTACTATTTTTATTCCTGAGGAGCAAAAAATACTGCAGATGACTAAGTTTATTCTTTGTTGATCTATTTTTGAATTAAGAAGTAAGGACTCTATTGCTGGCTATCATTAGCTCTGCCAAATTCTTTGTTAGTGCTGAGATAAGGGGACTGATCTTATTGGTCTCTCATCTGGTCTAGAATTCGCTTTTTAGTTGCTTCTAAAGTTTTGAACTAGTCTCTGTCTTCAGGTTTTAATTATTCAATTTGTGCTGGTGTGAGATTTACTTATTGAGGTACCATTGAAAGATCTTGTTATTGTATTTAAGGTTGAGGCTTTTAAATCTGCAATACTTGCTACTAAGCTTATAACTTTTGTAAATGTTGTTACTGAGCATGCTACTAAGCCATTTACTATTACTACTACTGCATCATTTGTTATTGATTAGCCATCATATTCATTTAAGGTTATAATTGCTATCCTGGCATTAAATTCAGCCCTTGATTCATAGGGTTTCCTTGCTGTTAATGATGCTAAGGTGCTTATTAAGCTTGATGATGCTGAAGGTAGTTATTTACAGCATCAGGATTATTCAATTAATAGTAGTCTGGCTTCTCAAGTATCTGTTGCTCATAAAAATTAATCTTTAGTAGTTAGCCTTCATACTTTTCAGCCATAATTTTCCTGTAGAGATCTGTGTTTACCTTGTGAGGATAGTACTTCAGAATCAGACTCAGTAAGACTTCTCCATTAAAGTCTCTGGGATTAATCAAATGATTTACATTTAGTCTCTTGTTTCTATTGAGTATTGAATTCATGTAGAAAAATCCAAGCACGTAAAATCCTATTTATGCCCATTAACCTCTTTTTTAGCCCAGATAATTTACAGTCAATCTTTCAATATGTCTCCCAGCGAGTGCCTGAATCAAGAAAAGACTGGCTCCTGAAGTCATCATATGGATAAATTAATTGACCATCACATAGTTTGAGATTTTTAGGTTGTAATTTATAATATGGTTGTTGTCAGCGGTAGGCTGTCGAAGCTACGTCTTGAACAGTTCTTTATATCCAATGCAGATGTTGTGAAATTCATTTATTGAGAAGTTTTTGAGAAGTCTCTCATTGTTAACACCGGTCCTTGTAAAATAATCCATTGAATTAAATTTCTCTTATTTCTATAATTATGGCTTAAATATTATGATATTAAATTAGTTTGATTAAAAACTTATATTTAAATTGACTGGTTAAATCATAAAACTTGAGGTATGTCTTTCAGTAGCTCTGCGTCATTTTTTCACTCTGTGACTTTCCATTGTATGATACAGGTGTCATTACCTCCTGCAGAAAAGATGTTCTTATCGTCTTTGGAGAACTTTACGTTGGTAACATGGGATGAGTGACCTCTGCACTCTAAGAACTGTGATCTTTCAATGACTGAGGGATATCTAAATACCTTAACGAGACTTGAGTCACTTGCAGTAGCTAGCAAGTGATATCCATCAGGATGAATCCTATTTGATCTGTCTACTGCATTAATGTCTGAACCATCTTCTTCAATCGCCCAGATACCTTGTGTTGGCCAGCCTAAAGGAAGTGTCCAAGTCGACCAGTGCTCATCTCTATAAGCTGAGGCTCCTCCTTTTTCTTGCTTTCCTGTTGCGGTGTTGTAGTAAAGAACTTCATAGCTTAGGTCATTAGAATGGATCGCCTCTGATCTTTAAGACCAATCAAAATGAGTCACTCCTGCAGTACTAGCTGAACAAACACATTTTATGTCAAGCTTTGTCATGTTGTATATTGTTATTTTGAAATCATGGGTAGCAACACCTAGCATTGTTCCACATGGAGAGAATTTAAGATCTTGAGCTATTTAATTACTGACTCTTTTCTTAGCCTGCATCTTCCACTAATTGGTTTCATATACTCTCAAACTTCCATCCCTGAATCCTATAGCGCAGAAAGTTCCTTCTGGAGTGACATCACAGCATCTGCCTTTAGTTGCATGGGCAAGTTCTTGAGTTGCTGGATCTAAAGGCATTTCTTTTCCAAGGTGATCGACATTTAGAGGAACACATCTTATTTATTTTCTTGTCTTTATATCCCAGACTCTCAGAGTAGCATCGTCACTAACTGTGTAATATTAGGGCATTCTTGGATTGATACACATTCCCCATACTTCGTTGTTATCTTTATTAGATGGAGAGTAATGACCATTTACTAGCAATCTTGGTTATCCTACTTATTTTGTTTAAATGTTTACTTAGACTTCAAATATTTCAGATCCAAGAGTTCCTACGAAAAGTTACGAACCATTGAGATATAGCGCTCTAACTTTACCACAGATAGAACTCCAGGCTTACTCATTGATTATAAAGCTATGAAGCACTGCAAATTGTTAGGTAAGAATATTTATCTTATTATCTTTACCACCAGTTAATACATACTAGCCACCTTAAACAACTTGGATGCAATCAATAGGCTTATCATGAAGCTTAATAGCCTTTGAAATAGATGTCCCTGTCCAAACATAGAGTTCTCCATTTATTGAGGCACTCACACAATTATTTCCAACATATCTGCAGACTCCATGTCTCATATCATTTTACCCGAATTGACCTTTCCTTCCAGTCAGAGTAGATCCAACTGACCATTCCTTGAAATGTTTGACTCCTGATGTAGCAAATGTTGTCTCATCCTTGAATGTAATGTCTATGATCCAAGCTTTATCACCTTTTTCTGTGCCAAGTAATATTCCTGTCTCTGCATTATACACTGCTACACAATGATCCTCGTCAATAGCAACTGCTGCTAGAATCTTTCCACTTGGAGAGAAGGCTAAGCATTAAATACCTTTTGTTAATTTTCCTTGGAGTTTATGTACAACTTGCATTGTTACTGCATCCCAGATGTAAATAACTGGCTTTGGTCCTATTTCTCCAGTAGCAACAATTCTTTTATCTGGAGAGAAAGCAATAGCTGTGATATCATCTGTATGCATATTAAAGAATCTTTAAGTATGCTCAACTGGGTTATACACGACGCCAACTGCTGCAGCATGATATGCAATTGAACCATCCACAATTAGCCCAATATTGTTTCTAGAGTCTCTGGATCTATAGCCATGAATCCATTCAAGTTCTACTTTGACAGTAGGAGGGAGATTTTGATTTATTTTAGGTTTATTGTATCCTGTCGGTTCCCTTATTTATCCAACCCATGGCTTTACTGCCGCGAATTCAGTTCCATGGCCTACATCTTGAACTTCAAACATGTCATCCTCAACTTATGCTCTTGTCTAGATCTTATTCTTTTCAGCTTCTAGTCTTTTAGCCTGAGCTTTTGCCTCCTTGCTTCGATCAAACTTTGGCTCACAAAATCCTTCGAGGTCGTCATCATTATAGTTCACTGCTGCTTAGAATTTTTCCTCTTCTACTTATTGAATTTAAGCGGATGGATTATCAAGGCCAAAGTCAGTTTCCCATACAATTACTGTTTTATCATTTCCTCCTGTAGTAACCACAAATTTATCATTAGCACTGAATTTAACTTTGGTTACATGGCTACTATGGCCCATATAAGAATTATATTAGGCATTCTCAACAACACATGGATATTTGAACAATTTAACTTTGCCAAAATCATCTGCAGAAGCAAGTATTAATCTTGAATTTGATCTGCAGACCGAATTTACATCAGTGTAATCAACTCCTGGCCATATACCTTGTACAGGGAATCCAAATAGGGATGTCCATGTGTTCCACTCAATATCCTTAGATGATGATGCTGTGATTCTTTGTTATGAATTAGCATCTAGCCACATGAGCTCATAAGCTTGCGAATTTAGGACAATGCTATTTCCATCTAAACTCCAATCGAGATGAGTCAAAGCACTAGATATTCCAAGATTGACAGAAGCTATTTTTTATAATTGTTTTCCTTGATTTGCGACTCTGACTAGTTCAACTCTTGATAAGCCTCCATGAGTTCCGAAAGCAATCATATCGTTTTTTGGTGATATCTTCACATCTTCTATCCAAGTCTTGAGATTTGTTGGATCAAAGAGAACACCTTTGTAGGACGCTAACTTTTGAAGAGTCTAAGCATCTACTGAATGAATTTGCCCTGATCTATCGCCTACTACCAAGAAATCCCCGCTCTAAGCCCAATCAGCAGCTGTTAAATCATGTTCGAATAGCTCTGATACTGCAACCATCTCATTCACCTTCCATACTCTGAGTGTCTTGTCAGCTCCACAAGAAGCAAACAGTTGTTGCTTTGGATGAACTGCACATCCCCATAACTCAGCTTGCTTAGATCCCTCAAAGTGACCATTAATTAATGTCTTAATTTTTGCTCCAGTTAAACCATTAATTTCGATAATTTCTGAACCTCTTGTTCCAACTAGCAATAAGTTTTGTTAAGGCAAGTAATCAACAGACCTAACTCCTGCTTAGAACTTTGACATAGGAGATAAATCAATAGTTTTGAGAGGTGAAAGATTTAAATCCCAAAGTTTAATTTAGGCATCATTTCCTCCAGTTAAGACCATTATTTTCCCATTTTAGTTAATCTGTTAAATTACCCATAGAGCATCACTATGAGCTTTGACTGATTTGCTTACTCCTCGACCTCCGAATACTAGCATCTCACCTTATGGAGTTCCAGCCACAAAGGTCTTTGAGTCAAATAAGAAATTGCAGCAAATAGTAGCTTTAGGTCCACCTGGTCCGTATGTTCCTTTTACACCATTCAGTGAAGCTCCATTTAGGGTAAAGAATTTGACATGCTTCATTCCTACAGTTGCAAATTCTAGATCATCCTTCCAGCAAACGTCAAATACTTTGTCAGGATCGACTTTAGAGTTAGAGATCATTTGCTTATTTGCCCAATCCCAGACTGCTACAGAATGGAAATCATCTTCGCCTACTGAGACTAATTTATCACCTGAAGGAGAGAACTAGAGATTTCTCACAGCTCTTAAGTGGAATTTATTTAGTTATCCTAAACATTCAAGTGTGGAGACCTTCCACACAAAAATATCAATCATTTTAGCCTTTCCCTTTGCTGCCATTTAGCCAGTAGCAATGATATCTTTAGATGGATGAATAGCCATAGAGACCACATCTTCTTCATGCAGATTAAAGAATCTTTGAGTGTTATTATTCTTATTTAGTACAACTCCCAAAGCTGCTGTTGTGAATATGATTTCATTTTAGTCTTTATACCTCAGATTTCCTCTAGTGTCGAAACTTCTGAATCCATGAGCGTACTTGAGTTTTAGATTTCCATTTGGCTTTTCTCCTAATTGTGGAGTTAATTTGAATCCTCTAGGAACACTATTCAGTACTTCTCCTTTGAAGGGTTGTACTGCTAATCTTTGATCTCCCTCACCAATGTCTTATTCCTCAAACATATTGTCGTCTGCAGAAGCAAAATCATCTTTAATGTTATTCAAGTCTGGCTTGACATTTGTATACTATTTGCTTTCCAAAGCTGCTTGAGAATTGAAGTTGTATCTCCATTAGAATATTGACTTATCTTCTCCTCCAGTAGTAATGCAATATGGACTATTCTTAACAAATCTAACATTAGTAACATGAGATGAATGACCATTGTATTAATTGCATGCTGCTCTCTCAACTGGATTTGGATACCTAAATAATTTTACTAATCCAAAGTCATCAGCTGTGGCTAATACTGTCTACTCAGGAGATCTATCACAGGCATTGATATCAGATCCATCAGCGCATGGAGGAAATATACCTTGAACTGACCATCCTAAAGTGCAGGTCCATGTGCTCCATTTTTCATCTCTTAGGCTACTAGCACCACTAGGATTGTGCTTTCCTGCTCTTACATCAAAGAATAGAATATTATATGATGTACAATTCGACATTATGTAATTCCCATCTAATGAAAAATCAAAGTGGCTAACAGTGCTTGGATGCCCTTTAAGTTTTTTTAAAGGTTTAAAATTATTCTTTGCATCGTAAGTAAAGATTTGACTGTCATGAGCCCCGACTGCACAGATACTATCATCTGGTGAGAATTTGATCTCAGATATAGCTTCCTTTCTATCCTTTCTAACAGCATGTACAGAAAATGAGGCATCAAGGAGTAAAACTTGTACTGTACCATTAATATAACCTATTGCTAATTTAGTTGCATCTTTTGTGTATGCTAGAACATTACCACCGCAATCTAATTTTCCATATTATTTCTACTTTCTTGCCTTAATATCCCAAACAGCAAGCATGCAATCTTATCCAATAGTTATGAATTCTTCTTTAATTGGATGAGTTGCTAAACCCCATAGTTCTCCTTCAAAGTGAGATCTCATATGAATAACTGGTTTAGCCACAGCTGGTTTGAATTCTAAAATTTCTCCACCTCTAGTTCCAACTAAAATCACTCCTGAAACAGGGTGTTCTAGGACTGATCTTGCTTTTGGCATCATTGATTTAATTTCAGGTATTTTCAAATCATACTTTTACTATTAAGTCAACTAATTTCCTGCGAAACTCCATAAAATTACTTCACCGTTACCTCCTCCGGTAATGATGCCTCTCTCCTTTACTCTAGTACTCATAGAATGACAACCCTCTGTATGAGCCTTATGTACTTAAGAAATTGTTGTTCCATTCCATTACAAAATTGTTCCACTAAATGTTCCTGTAAAAAGTGCGTTATCTACATATGCCTAGCATAAAACACCTTCCTGTGCTATTTTTGCTCCCCAACCAGTTCCTTTTTATGCCTTTAACAATCCATTCTCAAATGTATAGAAATTAACTTCTTTTACTGCAGTAGCAACGAGCTAAGTTCCAGTTGGATTAAATCCTAAACTCAGAATATTAGCCCTTGTTCCTTTTCCACTTGAGAATGGCTTAATCACTTCCCCTGGCTTTAATTTTTTATTCCATTCATATATAGCGATTTAATGATCATCATCAAAAGCACTTGCTGCAAGATATTTTCCATCATTAGAGAATGTTAAACATTTGATACCTTTTGTCAACGGTCCTTGAATTCTTACCACACATTACATTGTTTCAGTGTCCCATACACATAATAATGGCTTTGGACCTATTTCACCTGTTGCAGCAAATTTACCAGTTGGATCTATTGCAAGACAATGTATATCATCTTTATGCTCCTAAAAGAATTTCTAAGTATTTGTGGCTTGATCATGGACTATACCTACTCCAGCTGCATGATAAACTAGTTGATTTCTGATGTTATACTTTAAATTGTTTCTAGCATCATGACACCTATATCCATAGACATATTCTAGTTATAATGTTGCATCAGGTGCTTCTCCGTCCCTCTTTGATGGAATATGAGTTGAAGGCTTAGAATTAGCAACTACTCCTAGCCAAGGTTTTACAGCCATAAATTGATCTCCTTCTCCAGTATCTTATTATTCGAAGAATTCTCCGTCATCATTTTGTTTAACTTTAAAGTCTAGTCCGTCTCTGACATTTTGTTTTTTCTCAGATTTTTATAATTCCTTTGGATTACATTCATTTTCAAGATCAGGGTCTACATCAGGAGCTACTCCTTTCCCTGCTCCAAAATCCATTCCTAAATCTTCTTTTTTAGCTACATTAGCTCTCAGTAACACCTCTAGAATTTCTTTGTCTTGAGATATATATTTCTAAAATTCAGGTAAAGTTATTTTCTTATCTCCATCCAAATCAGCCTTCTTAAAGAATTCGTCAGTTTTCTTTTCAATCTCTTGGATTGAAGGAGGAGCTAATTTTTGTATTGATTTCAAAGCTGATAGGGAGTTAGTCAAAAGAATAACTAATTCATCCCTTGAAATGTATTTAGATCCATCAAAATCGTATAAACTAAATATCAGCTGGGCTTTTTCCTATTAATTTGATTAAATATCTTAAATTACCTCAAGTGTAGCATGAGAAAATAGCGTCATTGCGCAAATAAATTCGTAGGAATCAATTTTACCATTACCATCCATGTCAAAATGCTCAAATAACTATTGAATTCATTAGTCAATTGATAATTAAAATATAATTGCTTCCTTACAATATCACACTCCTTCTAGGAGCACTTAAAGTAAGCTTTTAGAGCATCTCTATCTAAAGTAAAATCATCACTTGCAAGTTCAAATCTCTCCCTATTTGATAATTAAAAGTTGTCAATTTTACTTTAGTTTTTGGATATAACCTGGTGAAAAATTAGAGAATCTAAAGCAATGATAAATTTAAGAAATCAGTACGTAGCGAATTTGGCGTTATTAGCAGCGCCTGCTAACTATGATTAGTCTGCTCCCATAGTAATTTGTAACTTTTTATTTTAAATATAATTTAAAACTTTGATTTATTATTACTAGTCCTTTGGGGTTTTGGGGTTTTGGGGTTTTGGGGTTTTGGGG